CCCCACTTCCTTTTCATCAAAGTAGAGAAGATACCCCCTGTCTAGTACATGGGTCGCCAGGGAGGATCCACCCTGAAATGAAAGACTAGAAGAGAATCTTACTGTTCATGGGGTTTATGGAAAAGAAACAAATCCTTCAGCTGGGTGAGCAAGTCCAGCTGTTTGAGATAATGGACGACAGTTACTGTGGGCTCCTTGTGGTGCTCTTCCCCTTCCTTCCTGCTTGGCCGGTCTGCCTACTGACAGGTGCCGCACCTGTGACCAGAGGTTTCACCTGGGTTATGAAATTCTGCAGACATATTGTTCATCCAACATCTTCCATAGCTCTGAGGGGAAAAAAACACATTTAGTCCTTAGATTGGGATAGGTGATTTGGGATTCACTCTACTTAATCTCCAACAATAAACTATCCTGGTCAGGTGAGCAAAATAATTGCATGACCAGGCCACAGTTGGCACAGCCTCAACACCAGCTCCCCTCACCCTCTAACATCTCCTCTTGCTGTCCCCCCAACATTTTTTTTACAACCAGGCACAGAACTGTGTTGCCAATGTGAGATAACAAAAATGTGCCTTTCATTTATGGCATGATCATTTTACTTCCTGGCTAGCCAGCAGCTTGCAACACCCTTGGGCTGGTTGGGCAGTGGTCAGTGTCAGCTATGATAAGTGTCAGCTGACCCTTATCGCCCCTCTGGGCTCTGCTGTACAGCCTTAGGTTTGCAGGGAGCAGCCTTGCACCAAGAGCACTGCTGTGGGCGATAATGATCCCACATCTCTACACCACCCTCTCCCTGAAATGTTTCTTTGGCTTTTTGTAAACAGTTTAATTGAGAAAGCAAAGGATATCGTTCTCATGGAGACGGCAGGGAATTTTAGGTGGGCAGAATGCAATTACCCAAGGCAGCATCTTGCCAGTCTACCAACTCAGAAATAGGAAAATATGTGAGTCGGTGGCATTTGTCTCTGTCTATTGTATCTAGGGTCTCTGTCTCATTGTGCATCTGTTGAATATTTAGTTTCAAAGTGTTTGATGGAGATTGGCTGTGTGACAAATTCAAGTTCTTCTTTTGCTTTAGATAATTTGCTAGAATTGAAAATACGTTTAAAAGACAGATATGCAGCCAAGGTATCTTCCAGCCGAGACTCAAACTGAGGTGAATTTTCAAAGTATTTTCCAAAGAGATGGAATATATGGAGGAAGGCAGGTAACTGAGTTGGCTTTTCTTAGTGTCATGTGTGATTGTTCTCCCTCCTACTTTGACTCTCTCCCCTCCCTGTGGAGCAGCAACACAAGCAGTTGACCCAATTTTCTTCTCTCTAAAATTGTCTATTATCTCATATTAACATAGCCTGTGTAGGTCCTGTGTTTGTTGTTGATCTAGATTTTTCCATCCTTTTACATGTAACCTATGTGTGTGTCTGATTTTGTAGTCATGTTTCACTTAATGATGGATTGATATTCATTAGGCTTTTTCATTTTTGTCCATCATTGTACATTATATAAACACCTTTGTTTATATGTTACAAACCCAAACAATAGGCTGCTGCAGTTATTGATTTATTCATCATGCCTTTTAAAGAAACTGAAAGGAAGCATGCAAACATCTATCTCTAGTGTTTGTGTATGACCCAACTTCACATTTACCATTTCTGGTAACCTTAATTCCTTTCAGTGGTTGCCACTTGGTGTAACTTTCTTGCTGCAATACAACCTTGCCACCTCCCCCGAATTCTTTTTGTGCTATATTGTCAACATATCACATTCCTATATGTTACAGAGCCAATAATAAAATCATACATATTGTTTTAGGCAACTGATTTTTAAATCAGTTAAGAGGAAAGCATGTACTTGTATTGCCTTTCATAATGACCTATATTGGTATTCTTTGTGTGTGTTGAGAGATGAGGGTGGGAGTGGGGCCATGTGCTCTCAGCCTGACGAATATCCTTTAGTATATCTTACAAGACACCTCTGTTAGCAACAACTTGTTTTTGTTCATTTAAGAATGTTATTATTGCACCTTCATTTTATGAGATTCTTAGTTAATAGTTTTTGTTTTCAGTATTTTGTGTCACCTCACTGCCTTCTGGCCCACTGTTTCTCCAGATAAGGCAGCTGTTGATCTTACTGGAATCCCCTTGCACATGAGTTGTGACTTTTACTCTTTCAGATGTCTTTGTCTTTCAACATTTTCACTATCATGTGCTTGGGTATGGGTCTCTTTGTGGTGTCATACTTTTTTGTTTAAATGGTGTTTTCTGTTTTTTTAAGGTTCTAGTTCATTTTCCCTCATGGTTTTTGTTTGTTTGTTTGTTTTTTCCCTCTGTGCTCTTCACATTGTATCATCTCTATCAGTTTACTTCATGGTTACTCATTCTGCCTGCTGGAATCTACATTTGAGCCACTGCAGTGAATTTTTCATTTGTTAATTTACTTTTCAACTCCAGAATTTCCATTTTGTTCATTGTTACAGTTTCTATCATGGTTACAGTTTCTGTCTATTGATAGTCTTCTTTGGAAGAAATATTTTCACCTCCCCTTAGTTCTTTATAGTTTCCTTTAGTCCTTTGGCTGTATGTATAATTGTTACTTTGCTGTCTTTGCTAAGTCCAATATCTGGACCCTAGCAGATGCCCAGATATTCCAATGCAGTATCTGTTTTGTGAATTTTTACTTTATGTGGATCACATTCATTTCTTTGCACTTCTCCTAAGTTTTGCTGACCACTGGACTGGATATTTTGGCTAATATATCATGGCAATTCTACCTTCACCTACCCTACTCCCTAATCCCACTTTTTGTTGTTTGCTTAATGACATGCTACATGAGTTCAGCGAAGTCTACTCTCCTAGTACACTTCTGATATCACTGCTTTAGGCCATAAGTAAATCCTTTTTCTCTTTTTCAAATGGCATAATTCTTTCAAATAGTTCTTTGACTACCTCTGCCTCATCTCCCTATTAAGTTTCTAGCTGGCCTAATTCCTTCACTGATCTCTAATTGTTTGATCTATTGTCTTTGGCTGTGGGTCATAAACTGCCCACAGCATCTGAGTCAATTAAAATCAAACCCCTTTGTAGAGGAAGTTTTCATGGTCAGTTCTTGACATTTGTTTTGGGCCCAGGAGGACAATTCTCTATCTTTTTCTAGTTCTCTCTGTTAACTTCTAGGTGATCCACCATTTCACTAGTGTAAAACTATCAGTCTTCTCTAGTTAACCACCACCAAATCACTACTGAACCCCAAAAAGCTAAACAATCATGTATGTAGATGACATAAAATATATGATTCACTTAAAAATACACTTAGAAGACGGGTAGTCTGGTTCTCAGATATTTTCAAATTTGACCAATAATTTATAGGAGTTCACCATATTAAACAGAGAAAATGTGCATAGATATCAGAGAGTGAAGTGTCATACATGGACAAAAAATGTGACAAGGAGGGGACTTCATTGTTGGGATTTGATTTGGCTTCTTCCAAAAGGAATCCACACAAATTGCTTTGTAAGCCATGCTCTGTGATTTCTGAAGGCAGAGAGGGATGAACTCAGCTGCACAGGAACAGTCCAGGAAGCAGGGGAACTTCCTGGCCAGGGCTAGATGGAAGTGTGTGTCTTCACAGGGACTTCACAGATAGAAACGGATCAAGTGCTGCCTTTTGCAGTGGGGTTTAATTAACCTTTTTTCCATCACTAGGATAAGAATGGTGGAGGTGGGAAAAGGTCCTGTAAACCTTTACAGTCTCATAAACCTTACAAATGCAAGATTCTTGAAGTATTAATCACACAAGCCACTTTAAGGTAAAAGGGGTGAGGAGTACAGTTACTTGGGGAAAGTTTGTCATTTCTTCAGAGTGGTACACATGGATTTCTGGCATGACCCAGCAGTCCTGCTCTTGGGTGTATATACAAGAAAATTGAAAACTTATGTCTACACAGAAACATAATGTTCTGTGTACACAAATGTTCATAGCATGGTAATTCATAACCACCCAAAAGTGGGGACAGTCAACAACTGATAAGATGTGGTGTTCTATCCATCGGATGATACTCAGCCATTGAAAGGAGTAAAGGACTGACACATACCAACGCTTGAATGAGCCTTGAAAACATTTTACTAAGTGAAAGACAGTCACAAGATCCCCTACTTTATGATTTGGTTTTATATGAACTATCCAGACTAGGAAAATTCATGGTAACACAAAGGAAAATTGCTGGTTGCTAATGTGAAAGTGAAGGGGAGAATGAGAAATGAGTGCTAATCGCCATGGGTCTCTTTGGGAGCTAATGTTTTAAAATGAGATTGCGGTGCTGACCATTGAAAGACTCTGAATATACTAAAAACTACTGACTTGCACATTTGAATGAGGTAAGTTTTATGGTATGTGAACTGTAGACAAATGAAGCTGTTATTTTTAAGGGGAGAAGTGTGAAAGGGAAGGCGATTTCAAGCCAAAATGGTTTTCTCTCATCATTCACCCCCTCTATTATCACCACCACCTGGGTCCCAGCATCTGTCACATCCAGGAAGCTGTATGATTTTTTTTTTTAAACCTCGATGAGAAAATGCCACATCTGAAGCAGCAACAGTGAAAAAGCCAAGAATTGCCACTTTCCTCACGCAAGCCTACCCTTTTCGTGTTGGTAATTTTTTAAATTGGATGAGACGGCTTAGAGGGCGGAGGTTCCCCTACCAGGAGGCTATCTGCGAATCTCCCCGACTGAACAGCAGTGTCCGTATTCGTATCCTGGCAAAAAAAGAACTATGATGCCTTTTTTTGTAATCACCATGCCTGATTGTCAAAACTGCCTGCCCATTGTACATTATACCAAAAATAAGTGTGGCTGATAGACTGACTCCTGCCAGGTCGGCGAGTCCCCAGGTCCAGCAGTGAGGACAGATTTCCTTCCCAGCCAGTGGACTTCACTCATCTTGTGCTTTTTGTTTTTTTTTTTTGTTTTGTTTTGTTTTTTTTGTCTTCTTTGTGTGTTTCAGTGGCTGCTTCAACCCCCAACTCCACCGCTGGTGCGGCCATGAATTCTTTGACCTCTCTTGGGACTCTGCAAGGACTAGCGGGAGCCACTGTTGGATTGAATAATATTAATGCACTAGCAGGTACCATCAACAGTGAGTACTTGCTGCTCTGGTGGACAGCCTTCCCCCAAATTGCTACAGAACATGGTCATTGACAAATAATTTGAAAAGGGCAGACGGGAGAACTAACACTTGGGATGGAGGAGCACATGCTTCAATTGATAGTTTTTTACAAAAACACTAGTTAACTCGGTATTTTTCCTAGTATGTAGAGTGTGTATTTATCCATTGATTTACGTGTTTCACAGATACTTGTAGGTGTTGAGGGGGTTTGGTTTTAGTTTGATCTTTGTTCTATTCTTAGAGGCAGAGTGTTATACTAGAAGAAGCCATGGACGAGACTCTGTGGGTCCATCTCTGAGTCTGCTATCAGCCCTGCAGGATCTTGGGCAAATCACTGTCCCCTGTGAGCGTCCCTGTTTGAAAATGGAGAGTTCTAGATCAGATGAGCTTAAAGGTGCTCTCCAGCTCGACAATTATGTAAGAGAACATGAGGCCTTCAGGAGGAGGAAATAAAGCAGAGTTGAAAGGAGCTGCTGCTGGAGGAGGGGTTACCTGGCCTCATGACAAGGTCCCTGAAGGCCTGGGTCATTGCAGTAGAGCCTGTCTCCACAGGGCATCTCTGTACCTCAGCAGACCGAGCAGAGTAAAGCAAATGGCTCACAACGTTACTTAGCTCTGAAACGTGGACCGCAGAGAGCTCCAGATGCTGTCCTATGAGCCTGTCCTTTTCCACTTGGGGTGGAGAATGGCACCTGGCCTGAGGATGCCATAGTTTGGACTCGTGGTTTGGTGCTGGTCCTGCACTGAGGGAAACTGAGCCTCAGCCCAGAAGGGGCCTCCTTTGTCTTTTCCTTCAGTGGGTGCCCTTGTTGCCTGCCCAGCAGATCCATGACAGCCAAAAAGATTGATTTGGGGGCCCAGTTACCTACCATGAAGCCCAGGCAAGCCAAAACCTGCCCATTTTAAGTGTCAAGAAGAGCCTTGAGATACTTTACCCTATTTTGAGCCATGATTCAATAAGTGAGCTGCTTGTGTCATCACTTATATGTAGTTTTTAGGCAAAATATCTCCAAAATTCTATACTTTAAAAGCTCTAAAAGAATACCCCAGTTTATTGATTAAAAAAAAAAAAGGACCTAGAACTCACTAGATGAAGACTACCTTTTATAATGCTAATAAGAAAATAAGTCCCATAGTTAGAGGTAGGAAGTGTGCAGGTTTTATTATGTCCTTTTATTCAGATGCTATGGGGGGGAAGAAACAAAACTTAATGAGTTTTATCTGACTATAGGCAAAATAAGAGAAAGATTTTCCCTTTCAGAGGTCAGGGCTCTTGATTTGCAAATACTAAGTGTGAACCCTGTGACAGTCATAGTTTTCTCCCAGCTGAAACTGCCTCAGTGCCCCTTCCAAAGGCGAGAGGAACCCACATTGCTTTGACTCCTGTTTCTGACCTTGTTCTGCAGACACACCAACCCACCTGCCCCTCCCCTCGGCTGCAGAAGTGTGTCCTTGCACACACTCCTTCATGCTGCTTCTCTTGCCCCAGGACCTAGTTCCCCTAAAACAAGGACCCTGATTTGATCACCTGCCTGTCCTTGATCTCAGAGTAACAGGCCAGTGGGAATGGCTGTCCTCCTCGGCACGTGCTCATGACTGCTGTGTGTGTGTCCTCTTGTCTTTGTGTTTCCATGTCTGTCCATCCTTGTTTGCTGGGATTTTCCCATCATTTCATGAGGGACAAGAGAGGGGCTTTGGCAAATGGCAGAGAAACCAAGACACGTTCTTGTATGGAGTCTGTGTTAGACAAGCTTTTCCTCTGGCAAGGATGATAGGTTTAAATTGTGTTGGTTGTTTGTTTTTTACGTTCTTTGCAACTGGGTTAATATAGTATGTATAGTTCTTAGGAAATTAAGACTGTTTCAAATAACCCAAGCCAGGAAAATGTTTAATGAAATCATGCACAAGCAATAATGCATTCCCTCTGACTTAGTGGAATGTTCCCAGCACAAAGCTATTTATTAATCCCAACATCGGCTTGGCGCTAATATTTGCTTCTTAAGTACCAAAAGTAAACCTTCTCATATAAAGTATCCTTTTTTAAGCCATTCTTCCTCAACAGACATAAGACTGCTTGTCCTACTGGGGACCTCTCAAAGGTAGTCAAGAAAGTTCCCTAAACAGAGGTAGCTTCTCAAATAACTGTCCACAGCAGCCATCCATTGCTGCTTCCTGTCCCATTGTGCTCTGACACCATTCTTTTCTTTCTACAATGAGGAGAAATCGCTGGTTTTCTGAATGAATCCTCTCTTTTCAATTCTCTCATTTCCCAGAAATAGGGTAGACAGAACATAAAAGACCCAAATTCACCTTAGTGTAAATTTTATCCTCCTCTCTACCAGGCGAATCCCTGGTCTCCCCCCAAAATCCAAAGTTTAGGTAATAGACGAGTAGCTAAAGTTGTTTACATTTGATCTTTTTTTTTTCCCCTTAATACATTTATGAGTGGAGAGGCTAAAGTGAGTGCCCTAGAGAAAATTGGCAAGATTAGAAGTAAAAAACATGAGTAATTCACCAACAAGGCTTTTACCTTTGGATTACTGGAGCATTCTCCAGGCATGTTCCATATCTAACTATCTGAATTAAGAGAAGGAAAATATATTTTGAAGAGACTATCAGATTTTTTTGTCAAAATGTCAAGTAGTATCCTTATTTTTCCTTGTTTAAATGGCCTAATTCTTTCTAATAACTTACCTATAGTGCTTCAATTATAACCAGTCATAAATGTCCAGTGAAGAATATGGAACTATTTTATGTAAAAGAGAAATGAGAAGATACCTTGGTCATGTTACTGTACCTTGATCCATCCTTTATTAGAATTGTGATATTACTGTTTTAATATTCCTGAGAAAAATTTTTTAGATACACAGGTTATGACCATCTTACCACAGGCATAGTTATAAAAATACAGTAATTATACATAAACATATTCATCTATTCTGGTTCTAAAAATTTTGTACTTAAGTTCTTATTATCAGCTTGCAGCTTAGAGATTCCTCATCTACACCAAGAAAAACTTGTCCCAGTAAATAGATTACAGATCTGTGAGATTAATACAGTTCTCACTTTGCTCTCCCTTTTCCCACAGATAAAGGAGCGGGAGAGCCTAATAGAGTGATTTGCAGATAAATGTAATTTGTTTACTGTACTCTGCCTTGATTCTAATTTTTTCTAATTTTCAGTACCCTCTTCATAGTGACCACACACACACAAAAAAAGTGCTTATGTGTGGGTTCTTCATTGTCATCTCACAAATTTACTCGGTAATCTCACAGGTCCTCAAGTCTCTGTTTAAGGGACTTTCAAGAACAGTTATTGTGTAAGCATTTACCCACTAATAATACCCACTAATTTTTTTGATAGACCATTGGCAAAGTCCTTCCTTTGTTGAGGTCTGTCACACCTGCTCCTTTGTTCCAGCCTTCGTCATTCAGATAGCTTGCATGGGAATCTAGATTAAATAGCATGAGATGATCCATGCATTTGGTCTTTTCAAAGAAAAAGGACAGCAGTTTTTTTTTTTTTCAACTCAATCTTCAAGTGTTTCTGTTGTCAAAAAATCTTCAGATGTAATCAAAAAATCAGCTGCTGAATTGACAAATACTCTTTGTTGTAATGATTTAATATAAAGTAACATTAGATAAGTGACAAGAGTAATTTTCAGAAGTTGAAAACATCTGATGGCACTTCAAATTCTACTAGGTAATCAATTCTATCGTAACTTTCCAAGGTAGATTTGTTTAATATTCTCAATATACTAGTACTTCGTAGAATGCTTACCCTCTTTGTTTGGAAGGATGTTGTTGGAAGGATGGACGGAAGCCCTGAGCTGGAGAGGGTCTGACTACTTCTCTCTTAGATCAACACCCCTTTCAGTTAGTGCAGTCTCTGTCATCTGCCTGTCCCTCCCAAACAAGGAAGGTCAGCCACAAGTGTCTCTTAAGGGTGTGGAATCAGAGGAAGCAAGCAGAACCCACAGCAGACATGTCCTGAGGTATAGTACAAAAACAGTCAGCCGCTGTGCCTTGCAGGCAGGAAGAGTCTGGGGTGTGAGGCTGAAATGTCACTTGCAAGCCTCACAATTCTAGTCCTAAGACATACAGCTTTCAGGAGCATGAAGTTCACTCTGTTCCTATGCTTAAAAAGGAGGGAAAATGGCAAAAAGAGGGAAAGACCTAGACAATAAAAAAGGTCATGTAGCAGAGGGGAAGGGTGGGGAGGCGCCCTGCAATTACAGCTGAGCAGAGGGGAAGGGTGTGGAGGCACCCTGCAATTATAGCTGCATGTCTAATCCCTCTGTGGCTTGTCACCCTTTGTTTGAAATGTGACATGAGTGTTTTAATACATATTTGGGGGCAAAGGAATCCTCCACCCCTAAAGGAGCCAGGTCATGGGAGTCAGAAGTCACTGGAAGAAATTCCTAAGGCTCTTAAAGGAAGGCCTGAAAGTGGTCTGAGTGGCAAGTCACTCTCCTGCTAGAGCTGCTTCCCACAGAGGAATCTGACTTTCCCAAGGGCTATGCCGTTTGACTGGATCATCTGTGTTCCTCGTGAAGCAAGGACACTTAACCAACTGTGCCCAGCTGCTCCCTGAGTTGTCTTACACCCACCTCTCACCTCTCTCAGAAAAGAATCACTGGTGTGTCTTTGCATTTACACAAAGGCTGGGAGATGTGGATAAAATAAGACCAAAAGGAGAAAGGAAAAATCCCCGCCCCTACAGCAGCGTAAGAATAAAAAGGAAAAAGGCAGTGAGGTAGATGGGATTAATTGGTGTCTGAGGGATTGTTTAGAGTAACTAGGAGGACAAACTATTTCCAAGCTCTTTAACAGCACTTATTTGCATGACTGGGGAAAAAATATATAGAAAATTAACTCCTCTGTAAAAAAGAAATAGCCAGCTGCACCTCTGCTGGCCAACACCTTTTCAGCTTTCTTTGTGTCTGCTAAATGTCCTTGAAATCTTTTCCTTTCTCAGTAAGCTTGTTATCCCATTCTCAGTCCTTCACTCTCTTCCGGGCTCCGCCCTGCCCCCTCCTCTGTATCTGCACTGAGGAGATCAAATTTGGTAAAGTCACCCAAGGCTCATTCTGCCTCCTCAAGTCCCCCAGAAAGACTATCAGGCCTTCAGCACAAGATGCTGCTACTGGCAAACCATAGTCTACTCATACCTAGTATGTAATATTTCCATCATAAAGGGAACTAAAGGTGGTTATGACATCACCTCTCCCATTTCCTGAGTTCCTATGAAAGTTAACACTCTATAAAGTATTGCTTGTTTTGACTCAGTATTCAGGGAAAATATGACATAGTCAGCAACAATAACAGAACAAAAGAGCAGCCAGGGTACAGGGGAAAAGCGGCAAAGTGCGCTGGCCGGCACCCAGTGCACGTCAGTTAAAGCCAGAATGCAGCTTACAGACAGGGGTGTCACCTCAGTTGACTGATAAACATTACATGGGGCTCTTTCACTGGCAGAAGCCCGAGTTACACGGACCCCAATTAATGTTCATGTTTGTGTGTGTGTGTGTCTATTTGCTGTTGAAACTTGTCCAGTTCCATTTCTTACCTTTTATACTGAATGAGCAACTTGAATTCACTGCGATTACAAGGGGCTCCATTTTCTCCTATACCTGATTTTTAACCAGCTGGGCTATCCCTAAGTTCCTAGTTCTTGCCAACATCTTCAGCTCTTCAGGAAGGTCCATTCATGGGCTGCCGATTTGCTTCGTACTGAGTTCAGTGCTTGGTTCTGCCACTTCTCAGACAGCTTAAAGGAGAAAAGTTTTGTTTTATCCTTTCCTCCTCCACCCCTTGGCCCATTCCCGTGGCTCTTCAAAGATCCCAGTGAATGGATTTAAGTGTACAGATGTTACAGGCCTCCGTCATTAGTGGGGTTTTGCTTTTTCACGCTTCTAAGCTCTAGCAGGAGGCTTTTACTTCAAAACAGTCACAACAGTACTTGCCAGCAGTCCACAGTAGCCTTAAGGTCTAGTATACCACCACAGGGCCTCTGTGAATTCTAGCCACTGGCCTAGGAGGATTAACATTGTGTAGGAGTTTTTTGGTTGTTCCTTGTATTTTCACCATTGTTGTGATTGCTCACGTCATAGTTTTGTTTTCAGTTTCTTGTTGGTTTAACTGGTGTGTGAGCTGCATGCACTTGCTGTTGTACTTGTGTCTAATGATTCTCTAACTTCCTTTGGAAAGCACTAATGAAAAGTGCTATTTCTCTTCTCTATTGTTGGGTTTTTTGTAAAGTTGCTCAAATGCTCTCAGGTATGGCGGCTCTGAATGGAGGACTTGGCGCCACAGGCTTGACGAATGGCACAGCGGGCACCATGGACGCCCTCACCCAGGCCTACTCAGGGATTCAGCAGTACGCGGCAGCGGCACTGCCCACGCTGTACAGCCAGAGCTTGCTGCAACAGCAGAGCGCTGCAGGCAGCCAGAAGGAAGGTATGTGCCTGGTGTAGCCAGCGGACGGGCAGCATTTGCCTTGAAAGCATGTTTTGAGGAAACTAGAGGAAGCTGGTATCCGAGAAATATTTCCTTACTGCTACTCATATTTAAAAAACTGACAAGCCTAAATCCAAGATGCGTTTCAGTCTATAAGCTGTGTGCTTATAGACCCAGCTACTTAATCGGCTTCGGCGTTATAGCCGGGACACTCCCCCCGCCCCCCCAAGACAGCACAACGGTCATTCTCTCCCTACACATAAGCAGCTCGGTGGTGAGAGGGGGGAGTGGCTGTATCTGCAAGCGAAGCCCTCTCCCCCGCACGTTCCACGTCCCAGGTTCTAAAGGGCACTGACCCTGTAGTTTGCCTCTTCGTAGGTGATGGTTTCCAGGTTAATGATAAAATCCACGGTTCAGATGAACTCAATCTTTGTTTAATTGGGGGTCTGCATGGGAAGCAAATAAGTGATTGATTGCCTTGCTTCTCTGCCAGTAAAGCAAAATAAACTTCAGGAAGTTAGTGCTAGGAATAAATTGAAGCTAATTATAAAACAGTTAATGGGCTAGTTCAAATAAGGAATGCTTGTCTGGTCTTTTGGTTTCTTCCTCTTTAATTGAACTTCCTTTAAACCAAAATCTGAAAAATGCTATTCTCTATCTGACTTGTTTAGAATATGGGAGAAGCAATGGAATAGGGAAGGACTCAAGTTTATAAAATTTCCCTCCCTCCCTTAGCCTTACCTCAGAGTTCTAAATTGTTTTTGTCTGAATACTGACTCTAAACATGGCATGCTGTAAGAAATAGCTTTCCTTCATGAAGTTGTACATTTTAAAGGGGACACAGTTTAAGAAAAACTCAGGTATTTAAAAAAATGATTCATCTTTATAAATCATGAAAAATCAAGGATATAAGAAAATGTCATTTTTCATTATTTCAATTTTCTCGACTCATACAACACACAACTACTCAGGCAACTGTATCTCCCCAGATGTAGAAACCTGCATTGTAACATAGTGACTTCCAAAGAGTCTCAACTGAGGTTCCTTTCTGGGATCTGACTACTCTGGTGACAAGTGAGGGGATACTGGAGGGTCTCCATAAAAGGTAACAGTGTCCTCAGAAGAGACTGCAAAAGCCAGTCCCTCCATCGGCCTTTTAGAAACTGTTGGCCAATTCTTCATTATCTGGTAGACCGTATAGCAAGCTAGTTAGACTGTGTCATTGAGAAAGCACTGAAAGACTCTGTTGTTTCACCCCAGCCCATAATTCCCATGCCTTTAGCTTTAGGGATTGTTGATATAATAATTAGTCCTTTTCAATAATGGCACGTGATTTTAAACTATTTTACAACTCCTGGGTATTCATATTTTGGGATGTGGACAATTTGTAGGTTTAGTCTTTTTTAATCATCTCCTCTGTTCTCATATCTCTTTTGATTGTACATTAACTGTATGAGAAGATAGATCAAGCAAGTTATACTGGGAAGGAAAGAAAAAAATCATGAACTCTAAGATTAAAACTTTTAGTCTTCCTGCTCAAAAGTTGGAAGTCAACTTAATGTGTTTACTCATAATCCTGGTGTCCATTTTCACAAAGGAAAATGAGCCAGCCTGGGTTTGTAAGGAAAGTAGTTTGAACTTTTCTCCAGCTAAATCTTGTGAAGAATCATGGCATTGTACAAGCTCCAAAATCCAGGAAAGCTGGCCACCATTCCTAAATACTCTTTTATCTCTTCCTACACCTTATCTCCCTTTATTTGCAGGAGACAAGTTCTGCCACAACAGTAGGTAGACCCTCCAGAAACCTAAAAAGAAGCTGGCAGGCACAGGTAGTATGAAGCGGACACCCACAGTGCTTTATGCTACATTAGCTCAAGTGTCTTGGTAACAGGCTTCTTCTAAATGGAGAGGTAAAGAGGAAATGCAAGTAGAAGCAATGTTTTTGTAAATGTAGGTGATTTACAAATCAAACTATTTCTTAATGAAAGGCTGAGAGGTCTCCAGAAGATGATGCTGTTGGCAATTTTTCTGCTAAAAGGAAGAATAGAAGGACAAATTCTCTGTAGTTTACCTATCTTCCTTGATCCACCTGACATTCTAGAATGTCAGGATTATCCCAACATAATCAATAACCTATCAAAGTGCATTGACACTGCATTTTCTCTCAGGCTTCAAGAGGTGAAATGTACCTCACAATTCAAAGTACATAATCCTCATTTGTGCACTTAGATCTCTTATTTAGAAGGAATGTTGAATCTGGGTAGGACCAGATTTGACCAATATACTTACTGCAAATGATGTACAGGGCAAGGTGGTACGCAGAACATCCAAGAGCTCTGGTTTTGCATGTGTTCAGATTAACTTTGGATGTTTTAAGAGATAAAAAAAAAAAAAAAAAAAAGAAAAAGGAAATACTTAGGGACTTGAAGTCTGCCCCTTTAAATACAGGCAGTCTCCTTTACACTTGGAATGTGGATTAAGTCCATGGAAATTGTGAGTGTTAAAGTCAAAAAAGTCATATTGACAGTTAAATAAGGAAGGAATGCTTCATTTCTGCAGCTTCAGAAACTTCCCAGGGGAGATTTCTTGAGGCAAAAGTCCCATTCACTACAACACTTTTCTTGTATGGGTTGTTTTTGTGGCAAGAAACTTGGTTTGACTTTCTTTGACCCATACATGCAACCTATCCTCTGGGGCTTCCCAGTGAAGCAGAAAGTCCTGGTTCCTCTCCTGTAAATGCCAAGTAAGGGTCCATGCACTGCCTATAAAGATGACGTCACCACTTTGGTGACCTCCAGAGCCAGCTGGGGGAGAGCTCCAGCTGCCATAGCCCCTCTGCCCTGGAAAGCACGCCTGCCTGTTAACTACTAGACAGCAGTTACCTTCCATCGAGTCATTGGATTCCCCTCTTTTCATGTGCAGGTGGGTAGATATACATGTGGGAGAAGGCAAAGGGCAGGAATGTGAGAGTTTACTCTCTAATATAGCTGAGCAGATCTTCCGTATTCTGCCTTTGCTCCTTACCTTTTCTGGAAAGTGATGCATAAGACCGAAGAGATTGGCTTAGTCTTTGTCTAGCATCTACACTTCAGGCATTCATTTCCAAAGCTAAATTCCCAGTGGTAGAGTTCCTATCATAGTTGTGAAATGCTAGCAACCTATTTTTCCCTGCCTTGATGCATTGCCAGTCATTTCTAATAAAAAAATGATTACTACAATGTGTGTTGAGAGTTGGCAAATCAAAACTAGATGAATAATGAGGTGAATGACTGAGAAACCCAAGCAGTAACCATTCTAAATTGTTGTAATTTGCTTAGAATGCATAGGACACACTCTCCTACAAGAGATAAAATATACAGGCTAAAAAACATAGCTGCCCAGGAAAAATCCACATGACTCTCCTGCTCCAAAATGACCACAAACTCTGAACAGGAAACTGCATTTGCTTATTGCACATAAGATATCGTCAATCTGCAGCAGGTTACCATGAAAAGGAAGCCATTCTTAACCAGTGCCTCTTTAGAAAGCAGGAAAATCAAAGATGATTGCTTTCCTAAAAGACATACCAGCACTTGCCATTTTTCTATCTATTTTATGCTCTTTTAGTAGAAGAAAAAGCCCAATGCTTAGCCTATCTGTTGTTTAAGCCTTCCTAAGAAGAGACTTTGGGAACTAAGAAGCGAAGAATACCTTACTCTGATTTTTTTTTCCTCTTTAGGTCCAGAGGGTGCAAACCTCTTTATTTACCACCTTCCACAGGAGTTTGGAGACCAGGACATTCTGCAGATGTTCATGCCTTTTGGAAATGTTATCTCTGCTAAAGTCTTCATTGACAAACAGACCAATCTGAGCAAGTGCTTTGGTATGCAAAAGAAGCTGAGCTAGAGTTTTACAGTGCATTCCCAAGAGGAGTCATGGGAAGAAAAATGTAAATTACAGACACTTCAGGAGTCAGGATAGGACCTTCCCTCTGTGGTGGTGTTTCTGGTTCTCTCAATCCATATAAGCAGATTGGGCAAAGTCATTTTATATTAAAAAATATGTATATCAAAAGGACGGACCTGGGAAATGAAATGCCCGTATGTGCATAATGTGTACTGTACTTCTTACAAGGATCTTTTACATCTATCTTGTAACCTGTCATTGTAAAGCAAAAGCCATTTCTTTAAGTCTCAGATTGCACCACACACTTTAGATGGGACGACACAGTTTACAGACTGTGGCATATAGGTTCGGTTGTATATGTACAGGATGGCATTGCGGACCCTGTGTCACGAGCTCCTTATCTTTGTAGTTTCAGTGTGACACAAACTGTGGATGCGGGTACACAATGCCTTAGGGACTTACAGTAGGGGTGAGCTGCCTGCCACCTTCACAGAACAAATACTTGATCTAGCACTTGGTCACATAAAGCAATGCATTATGCTGGGACTTAGAAGCCAGAACTTGGGGTGACAGGGGCTGCCCCCTAGTAGAAGGCAGAACTAGGGCACAGGTATTCTCAGAACATTAGCAAGCCCATTTGTCCCAAAGTAGTTTAGAGGAAGAATATTCAGACTATCCATTACTTGCTTGGCAGACTGACCCATTCTGAGGTAAACATTTGCTTTAACCACTCCTCCAAATTAATAATTCATATTGCTATTAAGTAATAAAAATAGTGTTAGGCAAGATAAAATTCAAACTTAGTGTTTAGCTGATGGGTAGTGGCGACCTGCCTACAAAGAATGTTCTGGCCTCTTTCTTGCCATCAGCCAGGAAGGTCTAAAGCCTCTCTTGGTAGGGGAATTAGCAGGTCAACCACATAAGGTCACTGCTGGTTTTACCCAGTCAGAAAGGCTGGCATCCTAAACGCATTACACTATTGCTGCTGCTGTGGCAAGTCCATAAACCTCTTGTAATGCTTTAAGCGAGAGGCGATGGAAAGTGTGTGTGTGGGTTAGTAAACACTTACCTCTGGGAGCATCCCTGGGTAAGGTTTTGAGCCAGACTTTTTATATTCCTCATTGCTAAACAACAATGTGTCCTGGGCATATTTGGAGATTGGAATAGGATTGTGCTTGAAGGTTTGATTGAGAAAATACTTACTACCCACACACTACTTACCCAGTATGTTCATAATAATGCAGGCTTCAGCTGTGGGAATCAGCAGACAAGTATGCTAGCATTGTGGATTGGCTTTAACTTTTAGAAAAGTCATTGCATCTCATACCTTGGTTTCAAGTGAGTGAGCCTAATTCCCCGGGATTGCAATTCGCTGGCCTTGCGGGGTACCCCAGGCTTTCGTCCTGACCTGTGGGCCAGGTCTTGTTATCCATTTTACCCTCGACCTAAAAGGAAAGGAGAAAATCAGAGTAAAATTCTTGAATTCAAGATCACATTTATATAGGAAATTAGAGTTAATAAAAATGTAAGTCACTACTCTTTGAAATGCTGTCTATCTATGAGACGCTTTTCTGTTTTAGCATGTGCTCATTTTTATCAGCTGAGAACTCAACAGTTAAGAACTCTGCTAAAGGTACATTTACGTCCTTTTCTGCCTCTAGTTTGTAAAGAAATTTTCTTTTTAGCTTTAAACTTTAATAGTGGTTGAATAGTTGGTATAACTGAATAGCTGATTTTCAGAAGTGAAATTCATTCACTATAATAACTTCCTTTCAAAACCAAACTAGAAACTATAGAAGTATAACACTTCTGGGTTAGCATTAACAAAAAAGTTTTATGATGTGTCCCTCCATCCCATCCCAGCCCCCTGAACCCCTTGTGTTAAAACACTAGATGATCAGAATTCTATCTGGTCATTATATTGAGTTGTTGGAAAAGTCATGATGCAATTTTGCTTGAAAAACATACGTCATGACTTTTCAACAATCAATAGTTCTTTTTAAAAAAAACATGTCTTCCCTACATTTTTGGTGCTGAGCGTTGGTCCAAGGAAAGATACTAAAAAACTGTTAAAATAGTTATTCAGCCCTGAGATGTTCTGAACTGTTTATTCCCAATATCCCCGAGTATACAAGGCAGCAATTTCTATTCTGTTTAATTCAGTGGCACCTTGAAAATGGAAGATGAGATAAGGAGAAATTTCCAGCATTTCCCCCTGGATCCCTAGGTCTCTTTCAGAAATAACTCCAACATGTTGAAAATCAAGTGTAAATTATTCTACTATACAGACTGAGTCCATCCAATTGCCAAAGAGATAGGAGCTCTGGGAATAGAAACTGAGAACGCAAATGGGGTTTGGCATTCTACCTGTTAACCTATGCCATTAATTAACCTGCTTTGAAGTTCACCAGGTTGGGGTGTGAGCTCCGGAGGCACTTCCTGCCTGGAATGTGTATACCCCTGCTTATATGAGCAGGAATTACCATACCTTTTAGAGGGAGTCAGAGGGGCTTTAATCACCAATAAATTTGACAGAAATCACTCCACCAAAGGCTAAATTCACTCCAACAACCGAGTCTTGGATTTTCGGGGGAGAGGTTTTGTCTTCAGGCCAAACTACAGTCCGGGTAGCTCTTCCCTGTTTCTCCATGAACATTGCCAGTATTGCTCTTAAAACATGTCCTGTAGGTCTGTGGTAGCCACGTAATGAATTGCGTTGAACTGAGACCATGGGCTCAGCAAGTCCTACCACTCGCAGTGACACCTCCCGTTATGCCTTGAAGGCTTGGTCCCTGTCTCGATTCTGCTGCCTCTCCATCTTGATTCCCGCCTTCCTTCTCCTTGTGTTTTCCAGGTTTTGTTAGCTACGACAATCCAGTCTCTGCACAAGCTGCTATCCAGGCTATGAATGGCTTTCAGATTGGCATGAAACGCTTGAAGGTCCAGCTGAAGCGCTCCAAAAACGACAGCAAACCTTACTGATCCTAACCCCAGAGGCTCCCTGCTCTTATTTTAGCTTTCTTAGGGTAAGTCCCACGAGCCAGCCTGTGCTCAACAGGAGAGGCAGAGGAGGACCACATTGCCAACTTTTACCAAGAGAGACAGTTATTTTTACAATAAGGCCTCCATCCCCCTCCCCGCCCCCACCCAGTTCGCCATAATTAAAACTTGGGCTACCTTGTTTTTATCGAGTAAACTCCTCCAGTTGTGCCACTGTAACCTCCTTTGTTTTGCAGTTTGAATCTCCTTTTTGTTTTGTTTTTGTTTTTTGCTTTTCCTAAGAAAAAACACACAAACACAAATGACATCTTGAGAACTTAACAGGAAAACAAAGGCTAATGTGCAATTCTAACTCAAGGCCCTTGGCGTCCCAGGGCAGTGCCTGGGGAATCCACCCCTCCTGCTGGCGCCCACCTCCTAGGAGGATGCCAGCTCCTTTTAGAGGTTAAGGCGGTGGCCTAGTGCAAGAAAAAAGCCAGGAGAAGCACTTAAAACAATACAAAACGTCTTTCCACTACATTTGGTTTGTTTTAAATAAGTAGGATTTTATTTTAGGGTTCAAAGAAACATAACATTTATTGGTCAGATTATTATTACACTGGTTGTCTATTTTGTTATTGTTTTATTTTAGTTTTTAGAAAGGATTAATGTAAAAAATGATTTAGAGATCTGTTTCTTAAAGCTACAGGGTTTAAAAATAAAATAAAAATGAGTGAAAATACTTGATGTTTCTTGAAAGATAAATTTAATAATAAATAAATAATACATAAATAATACATAAATAAAAAAGCAAGCCACAGGCCTGTAAATTTTATTTGTAAAAAAAGCATTTCTATTTTTGTACAAAATTTTTACTGCCTCAGAAATAATGGAAGTTATTTATTGCCTACTGTTAACTTATTGGGTACCTAAGGAGCAGCTCTCTGTGCTAGCTAGATGCTTTTGAAGTAGTCTCTAGAGGAATAGTTCTAGGAACGGGCTTTTTTTCACCGTTGAACCCTAGGCCTGAAGTTCATGCTTTATCCTCTCGTTGTTCGTATCTGTCTGATGATTTTGTTGTAACTTCCATTATCTAGTATACAGTTCAGTCGTCTGACTTTCCCCTTATGTTACATTTGTTGAAACTGGACCCTCCCCCTGTCCCTTGCCAGCTCCTCACCCCACAATGCCCAGAATCCATCCCCTCTCCCTCTCTGGATGGATTCTCTTGGGGTTCCATTGTGCTGTGGACAAAGATTGTAAGAAATGCAAATTACATGGATGGCTCGTAGGCTCCCTAATGACCTAAGATTTGCATTAGTTTTTCTCCTGCACCCTTGAGAGTGATTTTGTTGCTGCTGCGTAGATTCTGTGTAACTTTTTACTCTCCCTTGTTTTCTCCCTAGACATCTTCATGCCCGTTAGTTCACCGTTTGCCTAGCATGTCCCTGTGGCGTCTCAAAAAAACAGTTTCATCGTCCCGTCATTGTTTCTGATGTCTTTCTGACCTCACATCATATTTGGTTCTCCTACTGACCTTTGATCTAGTTTGACCTTTGAAATTTGCATGTGACCTCATCTAGCTATGAATTCTGGGAAGTCAATGTGAAAAACATTGCTGCATTCATGCAAGACTGAAATTTATTATTAGACAAATTAATTATAGAAAAACAACCTGTGGCAAAAATGTTTCTTTCTTATTTTTTTCTTTCTTTTCATAAAACAGACTTGAAAGTATTATACAGGGATTGGCATTCTTCCCGGTCACTGGTAACAATAGCAATATGTGTCCAGGGACACAGAATGTTGGTTTCTAACAGACTACTTCCAAAAACAGTTTGAGAAAAAAACTGTCTGATTTTAAGTCTCTAGAGGTCTGTAATAGTTTTTACATTTTTCAGGCAGTGTAAAGTTTTTTGATAAGGCCATTTTAGGTGGCTCACTTTCTCATTAAGATATATATATAGAACCACTTTTTGTAGATTAGTATAAGAAAAATATTTACCCTGTTTTGGGGCAAATGCTACCTATTTGTGTCACCTTTTGCTGAACTGACTCACAGTTAGACAATCCATGGTTTAATGCACATGAAATTACCTATATTTTATACTGTTTCAATGTACAGGAGAAAGGTTACTGTAAACTGTTACGTTGGTGCTTCTGTGAATTAAGTTGTGGTTTCATCATGAGTCTTACGGTCTTAATGTTCACTGTTGATAAGACAAGTTTAGAATTGGTTTACTTAAAACAAAAAAGAATTTCAAAAAAAAAAAGTTGTTTGCTTAAAAAAATTTCATGTGAGGGAAAAAAAAACCTATTCCAGAATAAGTTTTGTGTTGGCTTGTAAAGCATTGATGTCATTTTTTTTTTTATTATTGTGGACTATTTAGATGTGTTTGTGTTCAGCAAAATGTGATTTTTTTTTTCTTTTAAAGAAAAAAAGTGAAAATATATAGTGCCAAATTCCAAAGGTACTTCCTTCCTAGAGCTTCAGTGTGTTTCTTGTGAGAAGTAATTTGATAACATGGGTATTTTATTATGTGTTTTGTATAAATCCCTAATATTTAAAAAACAAAAAAAAGAGGTAAAAAGTTTGTTAACTTGCTATCCTGTGGTCTTGTTGCCTGAAATTGTTATTGTTTGTTATTTCTCTATGATGTTTTTTGTAAGACATTGTATAAGTGCCCATGTCTCACTTTTTTAACCACTCTGCACATCAATGCTGTGACAGCAACCTCACAATGTATTTTCTTCATAATATATGGAAACCTCTAAGGTGAGAAAGTTTTGAACTTTTAACCCTTTCTACCCAGAGCTATCTGAAATGTTGATAACTTTTATATATATTGTCATCATATTAGTTTGTTTTGAGACGTTTCTCATTTGGAACCCCCCCTCCCTGCCCCCACATCTATCTTCTAAGTTTTTGTTTTTTTCTACTTTTTTGTCCTTTGACATCCAAAACAAAATCTCTGCAAGCTACACCTGAAGGAAAAAACATAATTTAGCCCTAATTTTTTTTCCTACCCTATTTTTTTTTTCACTTTTAATCTTTCAGGTCATTCTTTGTAAAGAATTCTTAATATGCTGCTGGAGTTCTTTCTTCAGTTTTAATGAAAAACTATTTACTGGATGAAACTTCTGAGGGGATGGTAGATCAATCCAGCCTATAAATTCCAGTTAAACAACACAATTTGGATAGTCTTGACGATTTTTTGCATTCACTTCTTAAAATACTCCTAAATCATATTTCTAATCAGCCACCGTGCTAGGATTCCCTGATCCCTGCAGACACCGCTGAATAAGCAAGGTGTATGGGTTTAGAAGCTGATAATCCTTTCCCTGCCTTTCTGTTTTTGTTTTTGTTTTTAATTGCAAACCTTTAAACAGGATGGACCACAGAAATAAAATTCAGTTCTTAACCACAATTACTGACCAAATACCACCAGTTCCTGCTGCCACTCTTTAAAGTGCCATATTCTTTGACTTTTACTTTATGTGAACAGATCTCTTGCTGTCTTGACAAAACCCAACGTCATTCCCACAACACCAGCCCTGCCTGCTTTCCTGAAAGCAGGCTCTGGAAGCCTGTCTTCACTGCATTTCAGAAACTGCTGCTTCCCTTTCCTTCTTCCTCTTCCCATGTGCCACCCTGTTGGTTGAATGTGCGTTTAGATTTGGTAGCCCTGGGATGGAAAGGACTAGCCTCCGATGCAAAAAAAAAAAAAAAAAAAAAAAAGTTTCCTTCTTATAGCACATGCACTTAAAATGAAATGATTTGTATTATCCTCACAAGTGTTTACTACTGCTGGGGCCTTCCTTCATCCTCTGAGGGCTATTTTGTACTTCTGCAGCAATCAGCCTAGTAACAAAAGTAAATCGCACATGTCTCTCTCATAGGTATTACATGATGGTGTGTAGATACATACAGACACAGGAGAACACCATTTGAATCTGTTTCATTCTTCATTCATCAAATTACACATAAATCTCAAATGTTTCCTACTTCTTCACTGAAGCAAACTGCCCTCCCCTTTTCCCCCACCTTTATCTCCCCCCAGGAACCCGTATGCAGCTGACCAGAGGCTAAGGGTGGGCACTTTGAGCTGAGTGTTTATTTTACAGGCAACCAAGACCATACACTTAGGGGGAAAGTTTTTTGTTTTTTTTGCATGTTTCATTGATAAGAAAGTTGTCCTTTTATTCACTTTATCTTTTAATCTCAAAAGGAAAAAGCTGCAAGGGTGCAAAGGGCCTGTGCCAGAAGAAAAACACACAGGGAAACTGCTTTTTTAAAAAAAAAAATAAATCAAGTGTAGAAAATAGTCATTTTTAAACTAAATTAGAGAATTGCGATAAAATGGCAGTCCTCAAAGGTGTGACAAGTTCATCTTTCTTTCACCATAGGGGTTATAGTTCTTTGGCTTGTGCTACTCTGGAATCATTTTACTGTTTCTGTTTTTATTATCTTAAGTGCTAATTAACAAGAAGAAATAAAATTTTAAAAAAAACCTGTAGTTTCATTACCTTTTTGAATAATGTCATACAAAAAATGTATTTGTGTTTTTTTGTGCTGTGAGAATTGTTGTTTGTAGATTAATAATACCATTTTGTTTAGAGAATTACAAAATAGTTTTTAAATATTGTCTGAGAAAAGCCAAAGTTAATGCAACCTAGTGGAAACTGTAAGACCATTTGAGTATTGTTTGTTTTATTGATGCATTTGGATTTTGTTGTTTGATGGAATTTGAGCCAAAAAAAAAAAAAAATGCAGGCTTTCCTATTTCTACAACTGATTGTACTTATGCATTTTGTACCAGTGGAACTTTTTATACTGGAGATTAAAAAAATGGAAATTTTTGTGGCTTACTCTAAGTGGGCCCCCTGACAATGACTGATTTCAAGTTTGATTTCTGGTTGACAGGAAGAAAGTTGCTTTTCTTTTGAGAATTAAAAACTTTGGCTTGATTTCTTTTTTCCCTTTGCTTATATCTAGCATTAGAATTTTGTCTTAAAATACAGCGGTAAGTTTCACTTTTTATTCTGTATTGTGCAGTTACACAATAAGGTAATTAGATTTAGAAGTACTCAGTCACTTTAAGTGGATAAATGTATTAGTTAAAACTTTAGGGGTTTGCTTTTTTGCTGTTTAGATCAAAGTTTTTTCTGATTCTTCTGTCCTCATTGTGAACATAACCGTGTAGTTGAAACAGTCAAACTTATTTTTGTAACGTATGTTATTGTGTGATGCAGTTTTTTGCTTCTGTCTCCAATATTAAACCATTTTCCTAATACTTGTTTCTCTCTCTGCGTGTTGTATTGTTGGTAGTCATTATATGTTGGTGATGCATCTACACACCTCACTGTTTCACGTATCTGTTTTTTTTCTCTATGTTGTGTAAAAAGATACAGTCGATTCCACCTAAGTGAATATCTGATTTGGGGGAAGGGGGAACTGCACACCAGCCACATTTGCTTTGTGGACACCACCCCTTTTAGCCACCGCCTCCAAAATTTACACTTTGGTTCTGATGGTTCACCAAAATAACTGCCTACAGAGCTGGATTTACCAAGACATGTTATGGTCTGTTGACCACAATGGTAAATTTCACCTTCTCTTCTGACCACCTCTTCTCGGGTGCCCCATTCACGGCTGTATGTATGCTACTGTTAACGTTTAATACAAACTGCTGCTGCCTTGCTATGTAACCTTAGGAAACTTGAGAAGCAGCAGAGCTAAAGTTTCTCCTACCTACCCACAAGTCCAAAGGTTTAACAAACACTTCTTAGAAACTAATCACATTTTTTTAAAAGAGGTGAGCTCTTGAGGGAAGAAAAAGTAAACTTACTGGTGAGTAGACGCCTATGTGTTGACATCAATCAATAGATATGTATAGCAAAGTAATTTAAATTATTTATTTTCAAGAGCTAATTGAATCCAGGAGCAGCTTTAATTATTAAAACTAATGGAAGAGAAAATAAATATTTCCAAGTGCTCAAATGGAATCCCACTCAATATGGTGGTATGGGAGAGGGAAAGCGATAAAGTGTCTCATGTTCAAATCTTCATTCCAAAAGAAAACTAAGAATGCCATACACATGCATGCTCTCTCCTGAATGAACATACCAATTTTGTAAAGCCTTGTGCCCAACATCCTTCATGAAAAAGAATTAAGGAAAAATGATTACATCACCTCTAAAACTGAAGCCACAGGCCCTCCTAACTTCTGCCCATCTCTTACGCTCAGGAATCGGATTGCTCTCCAAGTGCTCTTAAAAGATTCCATTACTGTTTGCTCCCTGTGTCTTATCTCTCCTTCCAACTTTTCTGATGCACAAGCTCTGACTGACTCAGGCCCCCCAGCACCTGCCTACTTTCCTCTGGCTGCCAATGAGATCTTCCTGCAGGTGCTCAGGCCCTTCACCCTCTGGTTTCAACAGCCCAACTCACCCCCTAGATTAGTTTCTAGTCCGTTCTACCACAGAGGGGGCTTGGTGAGGTGGAGAAAAGGAGGTTCTCTTCCCCCACAGGCCATGCACATCAGTGAAGTGACTCCTACCGGCTCTATCCTGCAAACAGGAGCTGACTTTCTGCTTTAAACTTCATCATAGTGCCATCAGCTTACCTCTGAAAACCCATAGCAGATGTTAGTGGAAATAGAGGGCTAAGGGTGTGATTTCTTTTCCTTTTTCTCTTCTTTGTGGGGGGTGCGAGGGAGGGTTAAAGCGGGGAAAGAGGGTGATCAATTGTTACCAAGATGCATGCATTTATTTCTTAAATATGTAAGTAACATTAAATATATCTAGCCTCCAGTAGGCACAAGGCAAAAGACTCATGCTAAATAAAAGGGAAAGAGAGCGCCAGTATTTTGTCTTTGTTCTGGGAAGACAACAAAAACAACTCTCCAAAGAAGGGGACAAAAACGCTAGTCCCCTGAAGCACTTAGGAGTACAGTTGGCCCCTGCTTAAATTCATCCTTATCATTTAGATCTGTGATATACCGTTGCAGTGTTAGTAAGGCCTCTTGGTTTGCCACGCACGACCACTGTGGGAAATTACAGAACCATCAACATTTACCTTGTTGATGGAAGCCACAGGTGAATCCATGGGCCAGGACTCTTAGCTGGCAGACTAGGAAACACAGTGAACATCAATGTGAATCGTTCCTGATAAGTGAATAAAACATTGTGACCAAACAATCAGCTTATTCACTTATCAGGAATCGACTGTTCTGCTAATTCGCTGTTTCTGTTTTTCATCTCTGTTGTAGTTCACTATTTTTGCTGTGTTCTGTTTTCTCCTCTCATGCTTGGGCAAAATCACTGGGAATATTATCTTCATGTGACCATGAAACGTTTATATCGAGTGAAAATGGTATCTTAACAAAATCTATGCACTTGCTATCAGGAACACAATACTGGATGTGTCTTATATATATTGAACTATATAGTACTCGATTTCTTAAATAAAGCTTAAGAAAGGACTGTTGTGTGTAAAGTTAATGTGATTATTTTTCAAAGCAGTGTTTCTAAGGGGTATTTTTGTTTTAAGTCTTGAGTGATACAGGATATTTTTCATTAAATTATATCACTGGCTTTATGACTTAATATTCAATAAATTGACTTTGGAAACAAAATGGAGTGGGGGGAAGTTCTTCTGAGTGCATTTTAGTAAGAGACATCTGGGAAGCCATTCCCCCAGTGATGCCTATGGCAAATCTCTCCCCAGGGTGCTGTGGGTGGCTGGAGAGAACAATCCTTTCACCCCACCAAAAGACCACTGGGAAACATGCAGATTCTGTCCTAACCTAGAGAACTGACTTTCTGTATGAGATCTCTGTAGGCTCAAAGAAAGGGGCCAAAAAGGTTGATCCAAGAATAATTCTGATTTGCGTCAATGTTTGGCCAAAACGATGTGACCCTAAAGCTGTACCTGGCTGGAGAGCTTTCTATTCAGGGCTAAGAGGAAGCAAGAGAAGGCATTTGATCACTAGGGATAAGAAAGGTCAAATTTCAAAGCAACATGTGAGAGCAACATCCTATAACAGGCTTAATGGGAGGCCTGCAGCTTGGCCCTTTGAAGGAATATTTTTGAAATTTTCCCTACAGGCCATAATGTCTGAACAAAATGGTATTTTATGTTGGACTTTATTTATTTTGCTTTGGGGTTTTATGTTAGATTTGGTTTTCTTGCTTAATGCTTGGTACAGGCATGCTAATCCTCTATAAATAAATCTTACTGATCCCTAATAAAGACACAGAAAGCACAGTTAATAAAACTCCAAAACATTTAAAATTCTTATTCCAGTCTCTGCCCCCTCTTGCCCCAAACCACCACCTTCTACGTCTGTCACCCAAACAAAAACTTCTAGTGAAAAGTGAGAGCCCAGAGAAGTAGCCGAGGATAGCAACATTAAAGGGTCTACACTGACAATACTTGCCGGACCCTTGTAGTTTAATGTCGGAGAAGATACTCAGGCTTTTTTTTTCCTAAGTAACATTTTGAAAGCATCAGCCTGTAGCCCTGGGCTCAGGTGTTGAAGAGTTGGCTGCACACTCAGGTGCCTGGGGAAGTGCTCTTCTCATCGTTCTGCCTTGAGCATCATAGTCTTTGGCTCGAACATAGCCAGTCCTTTTATGTAAAGAAAACATCCCAGCAATAATGGGTCATTGAACCCTGACCTTCAGTTAAGGAAGAAAGAACAAAACCCAACATATTCCCTCAAACTCTGCAGCCTG